ACCAGATCTGATTTCTTCAAATATTGTTACTAATTGTTGAAAAGTTGTATGGGAAGGTGTTGGAGGTATGTTGTCATCGGTAGTGGTGGTGTTTTCCGGTGGTTTTGGTGGTAGATCAATGGTGTTAATGGATTTGTCTTTGTCTCCCATTCTAGAAAGAAGGGAGAGCATTTTTTAATCACGTTAATTAATGTATAAAAATATTTTACTTCTTTTTTTATTGCATTACATTTTTTCTACTTTCATTGTAAGGGAAGTAGTAATTCCTCATTTATTGCTTTCTTTTCTCATGTAACTACGGTATTCCTCCGCTACAAGTGAGGGAATATTAATAAAATCTCGGAGGTACCTCCCTCCTTCTACCAAAAAAAAACCCTAAACCCTAATAGTATGATGCTCCTATTACTCCTGTTTGGGTGTCCTTTCCCTTGTTACCTATTCATTTTCGGGCTAAGAGTACACTTTTCGCCATAGCTAAGGCTATTGGGCTTCCTCTTCGTATTGACGAAGCAACTTTTGATCTTTGCCGTCCTAGTAAAGCTAGGGTATGTATTGAGTTTGACTTGGAGTGTAGACTCCCTGACAGAGTCTGGATTGAGAGGGAAAAATGGGGTGGATATTGGCAACCCGTTGTGAATTTTGCTTTCGATGTAGACATTTTGGACATATGGATGAAAAATGTTCCAATAGCTCAAATCCCCCACCACCATTGGTTCCCCCTTTGGTTGTTGATTATACTCCTAGGCCTCCACCAATCCCGGCTAAGGAAAAGAGTAAGGTGAAGGAGACTGTGATTGCTCCTCGTCAGAGATGGATGCCGGTTAAGCGCAATCAGAAGAGACAGGATGGCACATCCGATGTGATTTCTCAGCCCACTTCCGCGAACACTACTTCTATTCCTCCCATTATCCCTTGTACTACAGTCAATGCAGCTCAGACAGCTATCACACATACACCTTCCACTACCTTTACTGTGCCACCTTTACTAGTACCATTGATCTGCAGATTACTATTTCTATACCATCGAATCATTCGATAGTTGCTCCTATTCGTGTAGGTCATAATGGCCATAAAGCATATATATCAGATGCTCAACCAGTGGCTCTGCCTTCGGATCCGATCAGCAGTACTCATGTGACTAGTAGTTCTACATATTTTGATCCTCTCTTAGTAGATATTTTAGAGAGGCCACAGGGTTTTATGGAGGTAGATGCTCATGTTATCTCTGTACAATGTTAGTAGAATATGGAGGCTTTCTTATCCACAGATCAGTCCGATTCTGATTTTTTTCTCATATTGAAGTTCATCGACAAGGTCCATATCGTCGATCTTCGGCTGATGACTTGGTAGGCATGACTATTAGGACAGAAGATGATGGTTTTGTTCAAGTCGGTCAAAAAAGATGTGAAAGCCACTAATACTTTAATTCCTAGGATGGTGACTAGGAGTCGATCACAGGAGACCTCTTCACGCACATCCAGATGAGTACCATCATATGGAATGCGATAGGTATAGCTAGTGTAGCTACTCGTCGGCGCCTGAAGAAACTTATTCAGCTTCATCAGGTTTATCCCTTGGTTATATTGGAGCCTTTTATTTTTCAGCATAGATTTTCTTATATTCGACGATATTTGCGCTTTGACACGGGAATTCAGAATGAGTCGAACAAGATCTGGTTTTTTTGGAACGCGGGTACTACTGTTACTGTTATTGTTGATCATCCCCAATTTCTTCACGTTAGAGTTGAGAATTCCAGATTAGCGCGTCCCATCTATCTGACTCCCATCTATACTTCATGTAACGTAACTATCATGAGGGATTTGTGGAAGGGTCTTCACCACATTTCCCTTAATATGGACGACCCTTTGTTAGTCGGGGGAGACTTTAACGTTATTTCTCACGATGGTGAGCGCACCGGTCATAATACTTGTGATTGAGGCACTACTATTTTCTCTGATATGATGTTAGATTATAGTTTAGAGGATGCTGGTTTCCTTAGGAATCGGTATACTTGGTCCAACGGTCGAGTCAGAAAGAGACTAGATAGAGTACTCATTAATTCTACTGATGCTGCTTTCTGTGACAGCTTACAGTGAGTGTAACGACCCGGCCTCTCACCGAAGCCGTTATCTTACATACCGTCCGCTCCGGGGTGAGCTTCTGCCCACTTATCCCCTCATGGCTTTCTGACGAGTCCCCCAAGATTGGAACCCAAGACCTCCATCATATGGGAGACTTAAGTTGAATCCTAGTACCAATTGGGCAACTTGCCCAATTGGTACTAGGATTCAACTTAAGTCTCCCATATGATGGAGGTCTTGGGTTCCAATCTTGGGGGACTCGTCAGAAAGCCATGAGGGGATAAGTGGGCAGAAGCTCACCCCGGAGCGGACGGTATGTAAG